TATATATATATATATATATATTTAGCTGAGTTATGTTAACTTCATCCCAACTGTAGAGTTTCGTAGATGGTTCCTCCAGCTACCGCTACGTCCATTCGTCAGGGGATATGCATATATGTGGTCTATTATTTTGTATTTTATATTATTTTTCGCGAGTACTTTTGAATGTTGGTACATACGTCTTTAAGGGAAAAAAATGACATAAACTAAAAGTTAATATGAAATTAGGCAAATTTCCTGATAATATAGAATAACTTATTCGCAAATTTGAAAGATTTAATAAAAAATAATAATAGACAGAACTAATCTATATTATTAAACACTATATATATATATATATATATATATATTATTAAACAATATATATATATATATATATATATATATATATATATATATATATATATATATATGTAACAGTAAAATTTTTCAAATCGAGTAACAGCAAAATTGTCCAATTGTTAGATTAATAGATTAACCTGTGAACTGTTGTATCTTAGAAAATGATTAAAGATATCTTACTGAATTCTCCGATATTTTTATAACACTATTGGATTCTATTTTGAACAATATGAATGTATTTTAGATTTAAGTTGAAATGATGACCTGATCCAACTCAAAACGAGTACTCACTAAAAATACCGTTTACAATATATATATATATATATATATATATATATATATATATATATATATATTGAGAAAATAGAAAAGTTTAGAGCAGATAACATTAGAAAGATTTTAGAAAGCCGTGATAAATGGATTCTGCGCCTAAAAACGTTCCATTCAAACAGGCTTAAACACAAGTTTAGCAACATATGAGGGCTTAGCAATGGGCTCGCCATTATCACCAGCAATGGCGAATATATACATGGAATACTTTGAGGAAATGGCATTAGAATCTATATCTCTAAAGCCAACTTTATGGCTAAGGTACATAGATGATACCTTCATACTCTGGCCACACCAGGAAGATTTTCAGGTTCTACTGGGCCATGTGAACTCAATAAGACCTTCGATACAGTTCACAATAGAGAAAAAGAGAAACAACTCACTCCTATTCCTGGATGTTCTAATATCTCGAACAGAGCATAGGTTCAAGACATCCGATAATCGTAAACCGACATTCACTGGACAGTACCTCAATTTCAACTCTCACCATCCATACAGCGTAAAGAAAGGTATTGTCCGCTGCTTACAACTATATTATTTAATGAAACATGCATCAATATATATATATATATATATATATATATATATATATATATATATATATATATATGAAGAAATATACTCTTCAGGTGTACTATATTTGTGGCATAAAGTGCTCGATATCAGAGATAGAGCGTATGTAAATATAAATATAAAAACGAAAATTGAAGTCAACACTCAGAACGAAAAGGCTGATTAATGCTAAACGGCCTCACGATTGCGTCTAGCATGAAACAGCCTGTCGCCCTGAGTGTTGACTTTCAATGTTATATATATATATATATATATATATATATATATATATATATATATATATATATATATATATGCGTGTGTGTGTGATCTTGTATTTAGACGGGTGACTGTTTGGGGGAACCAGGTTGTAAGCTTGCATGTGCGTGTGGCATGGGTTACAACCGTATGACATTGTGATACCAGTTTGCTACAATCACCGAAGTTAAGCAACGCCGAGCCTTGTCAACATCTAAACGGGTGACCGCTTGTGGGTGGTATAAAGGGCTAACGGAGGTATCACGTTGAAGCACCGGTTCCCGTACAATAAAAGAAGTTAAGCAATATTGAGTCTAGTCAGCATCTAGATGGGTGACAGCTTCAAAATATTGGGTGCAGTAAGCTTGGATGTGCTGGTGCTATAATTGGCTTACGACCATATCACTTTGAGACACTAATTCCCGTACGATCGCCGAAGTTAAGCAACGTCGAGTCTGGATATTAGCTAAACGGGTGACTGATTGGGAATACTAGGCCCTGTAAGCTTGGCTGTGCGTGTGGTATGGTTTACGACCACATCACGTTATGATACTAGTTCCCTACGATCCAAGAAGTTAAGCAACGTCGAGCCTGGTCAGTATCTAAACGGGTGACCGTTTGGGAATACCAACTGCTGTAAGCTAGGATGTGCGGATGGTATAAAAGGCTTGCGGCCATATCACATTAAAATACAGGTTCCCGTACGATCGCCGAAGTTAAGCAACGTTCTCCCTGGTCAGTACCGAGATGGGTAACCTATTGGGAATACCAGTTGCTGTAAGTTTGAATATACGTGTGCTATAAAGGGATTACGTCCATATCACCGAAGTTAAGGCAAGTTGAGTTTGGTTATTACTTAGATGAGTGACCGCATGACTATACCAGCTGCTGTTAGTGTGGGTGGTATGAAGATGTTACGGCCATATCACGTTATATCATCGGTTCCCGTACGATCACCGAAGTTAAGCAAAGTCGATCTTGGTCAGTACCTAGACGGGTGACCAATTGGCAATACCAGTAAGCTTGGATGTGCGGGTGGTGTGATGGATACTGGCTCGGGATTGTTAATCGTAGAGAGGAGTTCCAATTCCAGCTGAGTTCGTTATATTCACCAATGCGTAAATACCCTTGGGAACAAATATGAATCCACATCTTCTCCCCCCAGCTATGGGTTAATTATTAAGACTTCTATCGCTAAAAAACAAAAAAAACAAAAAACATTAATATTTCCGAAAAAATATGCGTACAACATATTTAGATTTTGGCATTAAATGACCCATAGTGGCGTTGATATGCCGCTAAACAAAAACAACTGACCAAAAACTGCTCCTCTTTATTCTCCGACATTTTTTAATTGATTTTAGAATTTAAAAAAGGGGAGCAAGCTTCCCCCGCAAAAAAATATCGGAATCTACCAGAATTTTTTTCTTTCTCTCTCTTTGTCTGTCTTGATTATTTTTCCGTGTCCCAGGCCTAAATTTAAGTGAATCGGTTTGTTTTTGTTTTTTTGCAGAGAATTGGTTGTAGTAATTTACCAGGAAGAGTTTTTCTTTTGCGTTGATGTACTTAGTGTGGGTTGGAAGCCCGAAAAGAAAGAAAGAAAGAGAGAGAGAGAGAGTATGTGTGTGTGAGAAAGAGAGAGAAATTTCCGTGGAATGTGCTTGAAGTTGTTGTCGGCCATTGTTTGACGTCTTCAGAAATGATATTCATTGGTCGGTTGAACGATTTGAAGAGGCAGATAAATGGTGAGGGGGGGCGACGTTGGCATAAAGAGAGTGATAGAGAGAGAGAGAGAGAGAGAGAGAGAGAGTGGGAAATAGCGGAAGTAGAGCGAGAAAGAGAAAAAAGAGCAAAGAAATTGGGTTATAAAAGAAAGAAAGAAAAAAGAAAGAAAATAAAAGAAATAGAAAGAAAAACAAAAAACAAAGAAAACAAAAAAGGGGATTATCAAAGACAAATATACATATATTTTACACACACACACACACACACAACAATATATATATATATATATATATATATATATATATATATATATAGTTAATATTCAGATTTAATTTTATAAAACTTCTTCCGTTTAAGACAAATTCCACCCTCTCCTTATCACTTGCTCGTGCCTTTCGTCTGACTGAAACATTGTAATGGATAAATACTGTATTAGTTTTTCGAGTGTCATTTTTAGCTTTCACAGTTAAATTTCTATTTCTGACAAGAACTCAGTCCACACCGATATTTTCGTCTGCCGAAATAGGCTATTCCCCATATGAGGTGATTTTGGATTTTATTGTTTATTAATATCATATATATATATATTCAGACATTTTTTTTTATGTTTATACGTTCTTTTTATACATACAAATATTTAAGTAAATAGCTCTGTTTATAATAAACAGTATTAAACAACATTTAACGGCCAGAATGTCCGAGAAATCATGGAGAATTTTGTTTAAAAATAGTAAAATAGACCTTGCTAACCGAACGTTCCTCTGTGGCCCAATCGGTTAAGGCACGTCAATTTATATAACGGTTCCGTATAGGATCCAGATTCGATTACTGTCGGAGGACGCATATTTTCCATGAAAATTTCTCTGATATTCAGGCCGGTAAATGTTGTTAATACTGTTTATTATAAACAGAGCATTTACTTAAATAATGTCTTAAAAAAACAACTGTCGGACTTTGTCCATTTCATAATGTATGACGTCATATATATACAGATATATATATATATATATATATATATATATATATATATATATATATATATAGAATGTCATAACATTACGTATATATATACAGATATATATATATATATATATATATATATATGTAGTGAATGTCAGTGTGTCTTTTTCAACATTACTCTAGAGGGCGTAGCCCAACATAACAATCATCTTGGAATTAGGCCGACTCTGTGAGTAAATTAAAAACATTACGGGCCGGATCTGGGCACGCAATTTTGAAATTTGGGATTCCCAAGTTTTCATTACTGCCATTGTTTTTGACGATGTTTTTTTTACCCGATTTTTTGCGATTAATTCTTTTGTATGATAATTTTTACAACTTGAAAATAAATTTGGGAATAATCGAAATTAATTAAGAAATCCAGCGAAAGTCAACCATGAAATAAACATAGTTGTTTGTACGGAAAGTAAGGACCTACGTACATCAAATTGTGTTTAAATTAAGTGGCAGCAGAAGAATTATCGTTAAACTTTTAAAAGTAAGCTTAACTATTAATGTAATCCTGGATGTGCGGAGATAATGGCTCTGAACTGGAAATCGGAGAGCCGAGTTCCAATTCCAATCGAGTTTGTTATTCTTATTTACGCACAAATTCGCGGAAAGTCATCAATCCACCTCTTCTCCCCTAGCTATAGGTTAATTAGTAGCACTTGTATCAGAAAATCATTATTATTTAAAAAAAAATAAAAATAAATAAAAAACAATCTTACAATCTAAATGTATTCGCTGGCTTTAAATAAAATTGAAAGGGTTGATAAGCCGTAAAAGCAAATCAATCAAATAACATTTTATTTGAAGCAGTGTGGAATGTTAAGAGCTTGATTATGTCATTATCTTCTGTTTGTTTTACATGTGCTAACCATTTTAATTGTTGCCGCTGTTGAAAGTCCTCAAGTAATGTTATTTGGTCTGGTTCTTGCAGCGTCCAGTGAAAATGCCTCTGACGCAGCTATGTTCAATTTTCTTTTCTCCTAGACTAAATCACTTGTCACTGATCCATAAATTTCTCGAGTCCAGTAACTGTTATTGCTCTTTCCAGTATTGATGGGGTTTTCCTTACAAAACTTTTATTTGAATACGTGAGAAATGTCATCATCTTGTATTCAACTGACAATTTAGATATTTCTGAACGGGCTGGGTGCCAGTCATGGCATCCATAATAAAGTATCAATCCGAAGAGTCTATTTAAGAACATGACTCGAATTTCCAGGTTGATGTTTTGGTTCAGTAGCAACTTGCAGCGTTGGGCAAAACTACCTCTGGGGCAGATAAGGTCAATTTCCTTTTCTCCCAGACTAAAACTCTTGCTACTAATCGATATGTTTTTAAAGTCCAGTAGCTGTTATCGCTCTTTCCAATATTAATGAGGTTTCCTTACTAAACATTTAAGTGTAGAATATCATCATCATTGATTTTAAGACGCGGTTGTATACAACTGATAGTTTAGATATTTCTGACCGGGTTTGCCATCATGCATGGCATCCATGTGGAAAGTCTTGATCTGACGCATCATGACATTATTTTCTTAACGGAAATGTGCAACCCTTTAGTTGTTGCTGCTCTGATCCTGACGAGGCTATTTAATCTGTAACAGTCCAAATTATTCATTATTTTCTTAACGAAAAACCTTTTTCACCAAATGTGGAAGCTAACCCTTTTAGTTGTTGCTGATCTGGTAATATGACATTATTTACTCTTTTGATTTACATCAATTTTGGCTGAGTCCACAAGTGATGTGGTTTCTGTTATTTGGTTACAGTTCTTTATGATTCTGTAGCGCCAGTCTACAAGGTTCAGAGAAGATTGATCTTTGAAAAAAACTGCATGCTTAAATCGCTCAAAACCTCTTTTCATCATTGATTTTAGGGAGCGGTTGTATACAGCTGACAGTTGACATATTTCTGAACAGATTTGACACCATTCATGACATCCATATGAAAGTTTCGATATGACGAGGCTATTTAAGAATATGACATTATTGACTCTTCGAAATACATGTGCTAACTATTTTGGTTGTTGCTGCTGTTGGTAGTCTTTTATTGATGTGGTTTCTGTTATTTGCTTACAGTTCTTTTTTTTTGTGAATCTGTAGCGCCAGTCCAAATTATTCAAAGAGAGAATAACTTTGCCAAGACCCACAGACTTAACCCTCTCAAAACCTTTGTTCACCATTAATCTTAGGAAGCGGTTTAATACAGCTGACAGTTTAGATATTTCTGAACGGGTTTGGTGCTATACATGACATCCATATGAAAGTCTCGTACAATTTCTTTTTCTACTGTACTTAATTTCTTAAAACTGATCCATACACCAAGTTATCCGAAGTGCTTAATCGATTCAATATAAGAATTCCATTTCATGTGAGTAGAAAAACATGAGACCAAGAAAAAGATACTCTTTATTTTTCCCTGTAAATTTTCTAGATTGTTGTGATATTTTTGGAGAAATAATCCAAGTTTTCTAACAGTTTTTGATTTAGTGTTAATTATCTAAATCTATTCCTAAGCGGACAGTTTCCCGACTGAAATAAAAACTCAGCAGGATCCATGCCGATATTCAGAAAATGACGCACCTCCCTTCACCAAAGCCAAGCCAGAACTCTTAGGAAAGCTTTCCTTTCTATTCTTTACGAGAACGTGTTGTAAGAGCTTTTTTTTTTTTTTTTTTTTTTGTTTTATCTTTTAACCGTTGGCGTAACGCAGATTATCTCCCTTTGTGCCTTGCCGTCATAAAACGGTGAAGAAAAATTGGACGCGCTTCGATTGACTTCAAGGTAAAAGCGAATTGAATGACAGGCTTTTTATCTTTCGCCCTAGAAAATAAACATAGCATATAAGTAAGTAAATATAAAAGAATGTAGTCGACTGCGAAAAAAATGCCTCTCTTCCTGACGTCGCGATGTTTGGGTGTGGTCTGTAAACGGCGGGTGTTGGGGGTGAAGCAAAATTGGTATTTACAGAAGTAAGTAATTGGTAGGCATTTATGTAGGCGGGAAAGATTTCCATTTTTATTTTATTTTTTTTTTATTTTAGGGTGTGGATTTTATGTTTCTAAGAGTAATGTGACTTTTTTTCTCCATAATTTTGAACATTTGTTCCTCCGTGATTTGGCTTGTTCTGTTGTCTGCTTCATTGAATTTTTTTTTTTCTCGTGTGGTTTTAATAAATTTCGTTCTTTTTTTTTCTTTTTTTTTGCCTTCCCCTCTTCTCGGATGAAAATCGTTTTTGTTATTCCTCGGGGATTTTATATATAATTACAGGGAGTCCAGAAATT